AAATATCTTATGCAACTAAAGTTCTCAGGATTTTCTTGGGGGATGAGAAGAATAAGTAGCCAAATAAGGTACATCTGGCATTGAATTTGTCTTTATTAACACACTTGAAATCCCTTTTGCTATACTGCTGTCACCCTGTCGCAAAATCTTGACAAATGGTCTTGAAATGCAGCAGGAAAGCAAAGCAATATCATAGCCAAGCCAGCAAGAACACAAACCTATTTACACCTATCTACATAGTTATCTTCTCCATCTACTGGAAACATCCTAAATTGTCTCTGAAATGTACAGGGCTTTCTGTGACCTCTATGCTTTGTAAAAAAAAAGCATTAAAGTAAAATATAAATAGAATTCAATGAACCAACAACTTTGTCATGATTAGCAACTTATATTTCAGAAAAGCTTCTCAGCTTTTTTGGCCAGGATCAAGTGTGAAAATATTTTGAAACAGGGCTACTGTTATTTTCTGGAGACTTGTTCAGATATTCCTTTCTCTACCATTACATAAAGCCATATTTACTCCTGGGGATTATGAATAACATTCCCAATATACGTGGACTTCAAACAGTGTACTGAATCAAAATGTGCTTCGTTTGGTTTTGGTGTGAAATGTTGTATGAACTCAGCCACTGTTTATTGAGCAAATCATAGCTCAGTTTGAAAACACAGCTTTATTTTTTCTTCCTAAGTAATTGTCTAAAATAGGTAGCCCTCAACTTATGACCGGTTGCTTAGTGACCATTCAAATAACCTGACCACATTTTGAGCACTCCGCAACCTGCCCACATTTATGGCTGTTTGCAATGCCTTCTGGTCATTTGACTGTGATTCATGACATTTTTTTTCTGGAAACCAGTATTTACTTCACCTCATAGTCAACAATGTTGAACAACCACAGTGTTTGCTTAACAATTGTTTTATTTGCTTTATGACCATCCCATTCACGTAGCAAAAAGTGTCATAAAATTAGGTCCAGTTATGAGGTAACCCACTTTATAACCATGATTTATGACTATAATTGCAGGGCTCGATTATGGTCGTAACATGAGGACTACCTATGTATTTTGGGAAAGAAGACATATAGTAACAGAATGACAGAGTTGGAAGGGACCTTGGAGTTCTTCTAGCCTAACCCCCTGCTTAAGCAGGAGATCTTATACCATTTCAGACCAATGATTGTCCAATCTCTTCTTTAAAAAACTCCAGTTTTGGAGCACCCACAACTTCTGGAGGAAAGTCGTTCCACTGATTAATTGTTCTCACTGTCAGGAAATTTCTCCTTAGTTCCAGGCTGGTTCGCTCCCTGATTAGTTTCCATCCATAGCTTCTTGACCTGCCTTCAGGTGCTTTGGAAAATAGACTAACTTCTTCTTTTTTGAGGCAGCCCCTTGTAGCACAATAGTAGCACAAAGATTTATGGGAAGTACAGTAGAGGGATTTTATGTAATGAGATGTCGCATCTAATCTTCGCAAGCAGCTTGCTGCACCTATTCCCATTTTTTGTAGCATAGACTAAGGATGTTGTATGGTGAATGTCAGCAACTATGTTGCAATAAATGACTGAACTATTTGTATGAAGAAGAAAAAGGGTGTGTGAATAGCTAGAGTTTTCCTCTCTTATAGCTTCTATACATCTTGGACCAACAAAATGCCATCCAATATAATTAATTAGCAATAATGATATAAAATAAACAAAAAAGTATCCTTTCATAAATATGCAATCAGTGCCAAATTCACTTCCAGAATGTGTGGGGATGATCACTAATACATATGGCCTAAGTGGATCAATCACATTAATGGAGGAAAAAGCCACTAAATGGCTCTGAAACCTCAGTCAAGAACAAAATACAAATATTAGGAATAAGAAACAAAAGTCTTTGCTTCTATCTGGGTAAAACTAGTTTGCATTTGCTCAGCAAATTAAGTATAACATCTCATTCATTACTTAAATTTTGTGGATGCAAGTGTATACCCAAGGGGTAAAGAATATGAGGTAGAGGAAAGAACAGAAGAGGCAAGTTTATTTTTTTCTGAAATATATTGTAAAATAAAAGGGAAGCAAAAAGAACTGATAAAATTTAATTTTCATGTAGCAACATGGCTATATCACTGGAAGCAGACCCAATGTGATTACAGATACTCATGACATTAGTCCACAATGGCTTTTAAATGAGTCAGATTGAATTAAGACTCCTAATGGAAGTTGTATTCAGAGTAAATCAGAAAAGCCAGAGTCACTGGTGAATGACATATTTATTAGTCAGTTCCTCCAAGAAGGGCAGCAGAAACACATACTTGAGGGGCTGCCACAAAGAAGAGGGGGACAAATTATTCTCCAGAGCACCAGAGGGCAGGACAAGAAACAATGGTTGGAAACTGATCAAAGAGAGAAGCAACCTGGAATTAAGGAGAAACTTCCTAACAGTGAGGACAATTAACCAGTGGAACAGCTTGCCTTCAGAAATCGTGGGCGCTCCATCACTGGAGGTTTTTAAGAAGAGACTGGACAGTCACTTATCTGAGATGGTATAGGTTCTCCTCTTTGAATAGGGGGCTGGATTAGAAGACCTCCAATGTCCCTTCCAGCTCTATTCTATTCTATATACCTTCTGGGTTGCACACACTGCCTCTTCGGATGAGTTGAAAATATATATAATGCATTGTTCAGATGAGAAAGGAAAGGAAGGGGGATAATCATAAGGGAAAGTAAAAGTCCATCATAGTGTATGTCTACAAATGCTATTATTTAGGGGAAAATTAAAGTTTTCCCTAGAAAGAATTTACAAAAAAATCCTTCTCAAATCTTAGTTTTCTCCTCTCTTTCTCTTTTTTATGATGGTGTCTTAAATAGAATTAACAAAAACGGTCCAGTTTTCATGCATACTCAAGAAAAAGGACGTCTGACCCAGATTTCTTCTGTCTAGCACCTTTTTAGAGGTGTAGATGATGAACTGCAGCTTTTTTCCATCCCCAATTAGCATGTCAGATAGAGACCAATGGATGTGGAAGGCAACAAAATAGGAAAAATTAATTTAAGCAAATCATAATATATAAAGATATATAGATACAGATATAGACTATGTATTGGTGTCTGTGTGATAGGTACATAGGATGTGCAGATAGTAAATCTAAGATGCTGTAATTTTTCATGACACACTACACATACACAAGGACATCATGTGTTTGCCATTTGCAACCTCCTGCTGGCTTTCCCATTGACTTTTCCTGTAGGAAGCAAGCAAAGAAGGTCGCAAATGGCATCCATGTGACCATGGGATGCTGTATCTAAAATACGAAGGCTGATCATAACCATTTGTTCAGTACTGTTGTAAGTTTGAACAGTTGCTGAATGAGAAGTTCTTAAGCGAGGACCACCTCTACATGTACAATAATAATGGTACATGGCTAAATCATGCTATTTTCTTTTAGGGTAAACAATATTATACAAAGTGTAGCAATGAAGTAGTAGGCAAAGAAATTACACTATATCTTTCTACCTTCCTGTTACTGTAAACCATCCTTGGTTCCACCATTTCCATATGCTTATGCATATGTTGCCTTTTGTTCTTTATACTTTTAATATCTCTCCCTCTTCCTCTCTCGCAGGACACCTATACTCACTTAACCACCATACCATACCGCTGTATATATTTATGTTAGTGGTTAGTGATGCTGGACTAGGAGTGGGGATATCCCATTTCTAATCCTCTCTTAAATATGAAAGCTAGCTGGGTCATTTTAGGCCAGTGTCTCTGTCTTAGTCTTAGACTGGAAAACTGATAAATATCTACACCACACTGGAATAGCATAGTCAATTCAAGTCCATGACTTTCAGTGAAGAGGCTTTCATCGTACAGTGAACTGATCTTAATTGTCATTATATACGTAATCAAACAGCCCATATTTCATTCATAATGGTCACTAATATTGTATATAGTCCACATTCATTCTTCACACGTTCATTCTTGCTTTGTCATACATTCTTCTTAAGGGCCCCAATTTCTACCACCTATAGTTTTATGTTTTTATGAGATGCCTAACCATCAGTTCCATATGACAAAGTGGGCAGGAGCATTCCCTTGTACAAACGTTTTCATTTCTCTTGACAAGCATTCATCTTTTGAAACAAACTACATATTATCCACTATCTTTCTATGACATTTGGCATCTTAAAATTTCTCCACCCATTTTCATCTCCTTAATAAATAGTCTACCAAAGTGCATAAATTCATCCTCTTGTTTCATTTTTAAAAATCATTTATATGTACAATAGCTTCTCATTGTTCGTTGCATTTCCCCTGTTAAAAATACAACTGTTTTCGTTATTTTGCTTCTAGTTTCTTTGAATCCTTTGAACCTGATATCTGATGGTGAAGAACCAGTGCTTTGCATTTTTGCACTGCTTTCCTGATGTAGATGAGCAACTAAGATGTTCACTTCCAAAATTCTCATTTTTCTATGGATTTCTTAACTATCTAATTCAGGATTCATCTTTAGGGACTAAGAGACGTATTTATCGTCCTCTTTAAAAAAAAATACTTGGGCAACCTTTCAAAGATTGTTGAAGTATAAGTCTGCATTCACCATTGACCACACTGGTTTAAACTCACCAAAACTGAAGTGCAGTAACTTTGAAGGAGGAGAGCACATTACTAGTTCTTGATTGGAGGCAATGAAACTCTGATGATTGTGATTGCTGAACAGGATTCATCTGTCAAATGTTCTGATGTTAATTAAATGCTAGAGCTATAGCATGCTATAACAATGCACCTGGGGATGACTGAGTAGTAGATAGATTTTAAAACAATTGCTGAGTGAAAGTTTTTGGATTTAAGATGATGCTTGTTCTATTGTATTCGATAATAATATAAAGCACATTCAGCTTATTTCATTGTGCATTTTAGACATAGTGGTTCCCTTTGGGGCCAATTGTTTGTTCCATCTAAGTATAAAGTATAATAAACCTTCCTGAAGATAAATCTTTGCCTTGTCTCTTTCAGTCTGTTATTTATTGAACGACTTCACTCCCGATCTGTGCAATGAAGATGGATTAACTGCTCTGCATCAAGTAAGCATTTTGGAAAGCTGAGAAGTGACATTTTTCAGGGAGAAAGGAAGAAAAATAGTCGTATAGCGGATTTCTGTGTTACTAGTGTAGAGGTCTAGGGCAGTGTTTCTCAACCTTGACAATTTTAAGGCATGTGGACTTCAACTCCCAGAATTCCACAGCCAGCAATGCTGGCTGTGGAATTCTGGGAGTTGAAGTCCACATGCCTTAAAATTGTCAAGGTTGAGAAACACTGGTCTAGGGACAGTAGGAAATAATGGACTACAATACATGAAAGTAGTTATTATCTTAAAGAAAACACTCAGTTGATCTCTTTATGAAATAGGAATAGACCAAATCATATTTTCCTTACTACCCATTGGGAAAGCTGGTAGTATGTAACTACTGTTTTCTGTTGTGCAAAACCTGTCGGGGACAGAAATTGCATTTTTATTTCCAATTATGTAGTTTGATTTCAGTGCCTGATTTAAGTTAAGAAAATGACATGGGTGGTGATGGTAGGAATTAATTATCCTCCTTCAATTCTAAACCCCTGCACCCACCATACTTGCATTTATTCAGATATAAAGCTATTAGGTGCAACAGCTTTTCTAGTCAATCCATACAGTATTGGCTCTACAGTATAGATGGAAGAAGAAGTTTCTCATCAGCAGATAAAAGTGCAAGTGAGTTAAAACATAAGCAGCAAGAGATCCCTGGAAGTCAGCATGCATGTTAGGGATATTGCAAAGTAAGAATTAAATATAAACATAATAAATATAAACATAATAGATCAATTGTAGTAATTACAATACAAGATATAATTTACTGATTTTTCCTATTTATCAAGGACTGTATTTTTCTATTATTTCACTCTGTATTTTGCTTAAGGATGAAAATGGGTGAGAGTAATTCTTGGATTTTATATTTTTAAAAGTAAGAGCTCTGCCATTGTTTTCACATCCTCACAATACTAAATGAAGTCTTGAACACAAGCCAAAATTATCAGTATACCAGTCCCCAGTCTCCTTCCATGTACCATCTTGATTTTATGAGTTCAGTATTAAGTCATCTCCTTATTTTCCTCTCTCCATTCCCCATGCTTTTGTTTTAATGTTTTACTTACTGAAAATTAAGAGAGCTCAAGAATTTGCACATCAATCTAATAAAGACATTGCCCAATACATATTTCAGAATGCAGTCATATTGGCAACATAGCTTATTCAACTATTTGCTTTTGGATTCTTTTTCCTGTTGATACATTATCTTTGTTTTAATTAGCATATCATCCAGAGCAAAGGGTGATTTTGAAATATAGTAATTAAATAAAATAACCAAAGTAATCATATAAAATATTGCACATTAGAAGTCAGGTTGTTTAGGCAGGTTGAATTCTGTCTCTTTTTCCTAGTGGACTTTTGGAGAGGGAGGCATCATTTTGAGATTTTCTTTAAGCTTGGAATTATTTAAGTTCTTTGGAATGCCTTGACATTCATATAACCTGAATTCATTCATAGATTTTTTAATGATAAATATAAGTGTTGCTGAATAATGTTAATGTGAGATGTTGCTTTATACTAGGGGTTTCAAATTTTTCAGGCCATGGAAGTTGTCAGTTAAAAAAAAATTAAAATTCTTAGAACTTTGATCAAGAGGCAAACCTCTAGTGATAGAAAAGCACTGTTTTTGAATGAGCTTTTCCCCCTTTGCTCTTAGTTTCTCATGGAGCCCCCATCAAGTTATCACAATTGCCTAGATTCCACAGAACACAGTTTGAAAAACTCTGCTATATCTCACCTATGCGAATGGAAGAAGAGTATTCAATTTTAAATGATCAGATTTGGCTTCTTTTTGCTCCTAGCATTTGACATTAAATTTACCAAAGGTGTCATAAATCAATTGTATGTTTAAATGAAAATTTCTTAGGAATTCCTAAGAAAGGTGCTGACTTATCAGTTGTTTGCGTTGTATAAGGAAGTGTGAAGCATCTAAACAAATCACACATTAATTCCTGGGTACAACTTGAAAGCTTGTTACGAAGATAAATAAAAAGAGGGCTCCATCTTTACCACCCAGAATTGATCAGGTAGTCAGTCTAGAAGGAAGAACATGCTCCAGAGCCATGTACAATATACAAATAAAATCTCGGTGCTATGGACTTTTTTAACAGCTTACTGAATTTTCATTCAAATTGTTTAGCCTTCAGCTAATATATTTCACACCACTGTGAGCCAAAATCTTGTAGATGGTTCCAGAGATTGTACTATTTGTATTATCTATATAAAAGAAGACCATTGATACTTGAAGTTCTTATAAATTAAAACTTTTTTGTAGTTTTGGAGAGAGTATTGCAGAATATCATTGCCTGAGGTGCACATTTCCATTTTTATGTATCAGATTGATTTTTCTCCTTTTGATTTCACACTTTCTCATGAATACTGGATTATAAAAAGATAACATCTGTATTAGTGAAATAAAAATTATTTTTTGATGGATCTGGATATTGCCTATGAGAAGTAATACATACTTTTCACTGACACCGAGTTCTGAGCCTGTGCTTGGAACTTTTTTATGACCAATGTTTTAGTATCTAGAACTATAAGGCAAAGAAAGCAACTGAGCCAAAAGCTGTTGGTAATCTTTCTATTTAGGTTTGCATCATGGAATGGAAGAATAAATGCAATTACAACATTAGGTGATTACATCTCATATTGCAACATTAGTCTCCCCATTGTGAACACAAAGCTTGTCTTCATCATCTTGACATTTCTCTTTCAATCATGTGTATGTTATCAAGGCATCAATGCTCTCAGGTGGTAGTAAAATAAAAGTCACTCCATTGCTTCAGGGGGCAGAAATCATCTATACAAATTAAAGCCTAACATTACTGGTTTGATTTCTCAACAGTGCTGCATAGACAACTATGAAGAAATAGTTACACTCCTTCTGAGCCATGGGGCCAATGTCAATGCAAAGGACAATGAATTGTGGACTCCTCTGCATGCAGCAGCAACATGTGGACACATCAATCTAGTGAAGATCCTGATTCAGCAGTAGGTGACCTGTGATATTTATTGACCCAGTTTTGTGCTAAACCTAGTTTACACAGAAGCTCTCTTCAAACATTTGCTTGGGTATGTGAAGACAGATTGGGTAAAGGATAGAGCTGTATATGCTGGCTCCACCAGTGTCCCTATACTTATCCACCTACTATTGCAGATCTCCATGCAGTCAACTGGAAGGTCTAAATAGGAGTTATGTTCACATTTGTTTAATATGATTATCCTGTGATGCTGGCTTCCGATTTATGCAGAAAACTATACTCCCATTCAAATAACAGAGTGCTATTCTCCTTTAGACATTTTTGCTCAATGTGAATAGTTCAGGGAAAGTATGAGTATGGTAGTCAGTATACATTGTTGCATCACCTATCTATTCTGAACCCTTACAGATTCAGGCAAATGCTTGAATACAGTGCCCCACATAGTGCATTCCATCTTTTGGGTGCATTTTAAAAAACTGCAACAGAAAGATATCTTGTTTCTGGTTTCCAAATATAAACCCTTGAACAGCTAAAGTTTTCTCCTGAGGGGCAGATTGTAGTACTGTATACTAGCATTTTTAAGAGGAAATGCTCATGAAAAGAGGTCTCCCAATGTTTCCCTCATCTTCCAGAGATGTTATAAATCTATTTTCTTTGGGTAGATAGTAATTGCAGCATATGTCTTCATTCTATCATAGCAGCACTGAAGCAGAAACTTTAGTGGAAAGACAGGATAGAAAATGAAATACAGTATAGTGATGAGATCAGGACAACATAGTAATGAGATAGAGACAAGATGGATGAATAGCTTCAGTATCTAGCGACATAGGGTTCTGGTAGGGTTCTTCCATATGGGGGGCATATGTGCTGCTTTGGGATCAACACCATACCACTATTATTGGTAGATTTTTCTGCAACTACTGGCTGCAGTTTAATTCTAGCACTGAAGTGGTAAAGACACTTGTTCAGCAGAAATGCTAGAGCTGTCCCAGTGGACAGTTTACAGTTGGTGAGAATCATCTCATCCTGCTCAGCTTTTCCTCACTTCCTGTTGAAGTCAAGTGTGTTGCTACCATTTTACAAGGTATCATTTAAGGAACTGAATTGAGGTGGCTTTTTACCAAGATGGCAACAGTAAATCTTGTAAGATACTTCTGAGGGTTTGGGAGATGGAGCTGATGGCTGTGTGGAATGGATAGGTATGCTTTTTCACATGGCTGTTTCAGTAGGTAAGAGTCCTTAATGATCTTTGTCTACATCTAATTTATTTTGAGAAAAGTAAATAGTTGTATTTGTGGTCTATCTTTTTTTCATTTTCCTGTTCAATGTTATCCATGGTATATATTTAGTGGGGTTGTACATGAAAATAATATGATGCTTTGGACATTACACCTTTTTGCCACTGATGTGTTGCACAGCTTTGTTTTTTAATACATAAGTGAAAGTATGTTCTTTAGATCAGTGGTTCTCAACCTTTTTAATGCCGCGACCCCAACCGGTTGTAAGTCGAGGACTAAACCGGTCGTAAGTCGAGGACTAAACCGGTCGTAAGTCAAGGACTACCCAACCGGTCGTAAGTCGAGGACTTTCCCTGCCCGGGAGCGCCGCGCATGCTTGGTTCCGCCCCCTGTGCCGGCCGAGGCGTAGCTGGCAAGTGGCAGAGACGGAGCAGGCCGACCACCAGCTGGCCCAGCTCAAGGGAGGTAAGGCACCCGCCGGAAAAGGGAAAAAAAATGGCGGACAAAAAAAATGGCGGGCAAAAAAAATGGCGGACAGCCTTGCTTGGCGACCCCCGTGAAATGGTCAATTGACCCCAAATGGGGTCCCGACCCACAGGTTGAGAACCACTGCTTTAGATCATTGGTAAATTTGTGTAGGTGTGGATCTGTCAATGTGTGTCCATGTGTGTATATATGTATAGATCTCTCATTCTAAGAAATAGATGATTTCTTAGTCACAGGGAATATGCTTTTTATACTTAAGGTTCCAGGATGAATCCTGGCATCTCTAATGAAAAAAACAAAGATAGCTAGGCTTCTCTTGCAATGACAGAAAATGGTGATCAGAATAGATAATAGCAGACTAGATGAACTAATACTGCAGCCTCACCTGGGATAAAGCCGTTTTTATAGCCATCTTTGAAATTGGCTGAAAACAATAAAAGCATCTCAGCAGTTAAAATAAAATAGCAGTTAGATCTCCTCACTGAAACACACAAAAGGCACACCTTAATTAAACAGCTTGGCATCCTGCCAAAAGGAACCTATTATGGCAGTAATCCAAATCTTTGGGAGCAAATATAAAGCTTGTGAAGCAAATAATTAAAGTGATGATTCTGCAGATGTCTTGCTTTCAAACTGGCCAAAGTTTAAATTGAAAAACTGGCAGTTTGAATTGGGTGTGCAAAAAAATTGTAGCATGTATCTTTGCTTTGTTAATGGAACATGAAGATTCTAATTCAGAGGGAAAGAGATGGTGGGGGAAAGGGACTGGGCCATTCTGGGGAAAGACAGTGTTTCAGTGTTTAGAGCCAATGCTGACTTTTCATCCCCTGCACTTCTCTCTAATGGTGGTCTTCAGAGTCTCAGTTACTGTTTTCTGGCTGCTCAATACATGGTTGGTCTTATTCATGATTTAGTGGATGACAGGATCAATTTTGCATACATTACAAATCTATTGTGCATGGGAAAGGGAGGAGCTTCTCAGAAATGTGGCTGTGTGTGACATCAGGTGGGGCTCCAGGGGTAGGGGCAATGATCTTGCAATTGTCATCTGAGAGATTCTGATGGGTTCCAGGGACGCTACTCCAAAGATAACCAAATGTGAGACACTGTTCATGAAGTCAAACTATAGGAATGAAATGGAACTCTTTCTAGTGAATCAGTTTCCTGCCACATGGCAGCATCCTTATGTGAACTGTTCATTGCTAGTTTTGCAGTTGCCAGCCCTTTGACGTGGACCAGGTCAGATACCACATCTTTTCCAGAAATGTTACTGGGTTAGTATATGGTATAGTAACAGACCCTTGAAAGCATGTCAGAGTTTCTCTCTGGCCCATTTTATATCAAACATAATCAAGGCAGTTTTATTTTGAGTTTCTTTCTCACCCTTTCCACTTTCCCAGAAATTAGTTATAATTTTTCCTCTTTTAATGGCTCATCCATTCTTTCAAGGTGATCTCTATTTTTTGAGTTCCCCAAATGTATGGTAATGGGGTGAGAGGGGGAGAGCATTATCTTGACATATATAGGATTAGATTGAGACGGCTTTGAGTTCATGGCCACCATGGCAACTATATACCTGACCCAGATTTTTGAGGGTCATTTGTTAGATCTTGCTATTCTCTTCAGTACAGAGGAAGGACATACAATATTCAGTTGGTCCAGCCTAGATATTTAATGGACCCCGTTGAGTTTCATTGGAAGTTGGGATTGTTCCTGAGGTTCTAGTGCATGGTTTGGTTGAGGCCTTTATTGCTATATGGAATGAGGGAGTGATGACAGCCTTAGACCAAATCTTTCCTATGCAAACTCTATGCACATGAATTCTGGACCACCCTCTAGTTTTCAGAGGAAACTAGATGATGAAATGACACCTAGAATGCCACTGGGGAAAAAAATGAATAAAGAATCAGACCAACCATGATCTCCTTGATCTCCCAATGACCTTGGGAGGTGACAGACAGATGAATAAAACAGAACTCCAAGGCTTGCAAATTCCTCAAAGAACATCTTTATTAGTTACAAAGTATCAGCATGGTCAAGAGTCTGGATACACAAGTAACAATTCCCCAATACAAAGTTAAATGTCCCACCCATGCAACGCCCAGTCCCTAGTCTCGGGAGCAGTCAATGACCTTGGTTCCCATGGGACAAAAGATTATTTTGACTAACCAAGCACCTGGACAACCCCCTCCCTCCGATCTATGTGGCAACCTAGAAGGAGAAGGAAAATGGCTGCAGCCATGCTCATTTGTAGAGTTGACAGGGGGCTTTGATAGCACTGTGGCTCATGGGATTAGGGAACATTGTTTTATGGTGATTCTCCTTCCTTTGAGGCTGCTTCCAGTCAATATTGGTATGTGAGGAGAAGTCCATTGAGGGATACTGCAGGGCTCCACTCTTTCCCCTAATCTTTTTCAACGTTGATATGAAGCTGCCAGATGAGATGAGATGAAATATCATCAGTATGCTGATAGTACTTAGTTGTAAAACTTTGTCCCATGAACTTGTCAAAAGCTCTTTGCCAATGTCTCGTGGCTGTTGAGGAATGGGAAAGAACTGGCTATAGCTCAATTCTAGCAATATGAAGTTATCTGTGAGTTCTGAGTCTTCCCTCACCCCCAACACAAAAATACATGGAGATTTATATAAATAACCAGACATAGAGCCAGGTTATTTCAGTATCATCTGTCTCCAATTGTTTCTGCTTATTCACCAGATCAGACATGCTGGGTATATCCCAGATCCCGTCTTTGAAGTAGTGTCACCTAATGAAGACCATGGAGGTATACTTTCTCTATCTCAGTGGCTGCCTCTGGAATATCATTCTACCATGAGATTCAGATAGCCCCAGTCCCTCTGGTGTTCTGAAAAGCTCTAAAAAGGTGTCTATTTTCCTGGGCATTGGGCCAGGATGTTAGGTAAATCCAGCTCTATGATTGTGGGTTGTAAGGGGCTTTTGAGGACCTTGAAGACATCATATTAATATAATTGTAATTATTTTTATTTGAATTTTCAAATTTGGTTGTTATGGTTTAATTATGATTAATTATTTATGGACTTCGAAGCAAATATTTGAATGAATGAATGAATGAATGAATGAATGAATGAATGAATGAATGAATGAATGAATGAGCCGTCATATATTTACTCACTATAGCCCATTTCTGAAATGATCACAGAAGATTGCTATAGAAATAAAATAAAAAGTAGTGGGGGAAACTTTACATGTGCTACCATGAACTTGGAAGAGAAGGGTGTGTTTTGGCTATAGCATTCAGTAATAAGAATATAATACTTGTTTCACTGAAGCAGTTGAGCTTTGGTATCAAAAGAGGCAATGGGCTGGATTCGTTTTTATTTGTTTATTTGCGGAACACAAAGCAACATATGTTTGTTCTAATCAAAGCAGGATTCTGTCAGAAGTCTTTTGGATCAAAGAGCTTATTTAAGCACAGAATCAAAGGGCTTCAGTGTCAGAGCATGGAACCCAGAGAGACTTGTAAAAGTAGCAGCAGCACAAAGGAAGTCTAATCCTAGGCTTTGTTTGCTGATATAGACAAACAGCTTGCAGGTGCATTTTACATTTTAATTTCCTCTGTTCTCATGGGGTAGAAAAATGAGCATAAATATCCATAACAGTGGTTGGTTGGTCCTCTTCAAAGGCTTTCGATGTCAAGGCGGGTCAAGCTTAATCTGTACTGAATATTTGCATGTTGAGGTTCAAGTAATTCAGAATATTTGGTACCTTTCTGGCAATTTATCTGGGGGTAGGTATCACCTCTTGCAGAAGATGGTGGGTTTCTCAGTTTAGATACTCTTCACGAAGTAGCTGGTAAAATAGAATGGAAAGATATTTTAAGGAAATGCATGTATGAGGCCATTGCTATGTATGAGGCCATGTTTATATCCTCCTTAATATCCAATCACAATAGAAAATCTGAACTACAGGAATACATATTTTAATTCAGATAGGTGCTTAATTTTAAGGTGTTTGCTGAAGTATATTTTTTGCCGTAAATAGTTTCTTGAACTCTCCACCATATTTGTGGGCAGAAAAGTTTGGTGGTCAGTCCTCCAGTTTTCTCCAGGAAATTGGAAATTCTTTATCAGTTTCTCAAGGATCCCTTCTTTGGCAGGAATCATCCCTATTGAAAAAGCCAGAGGAAGAGTTCCTTCCTTTGATTTGCCAGATACGCAAAAAGATATACAAATGTATAGTGAATGGTGGCTAGCTTATGATTAACCTAAATGCAAGACTTCCACAAACTATACAGAATTGTCCTTTTCTTTGAAAATTTCTCTTATGCCAATTTTGTTATATTAAATTGAGTGAAAAACCATAAAAAAATAGTAACATATTTTTGCTCAACACAACCTTTGGTTAGTTTCATTATTATGTTTTAAGCTGAATTGCTTTTATGTGATTAATATTCTTAAATGCTATTAGTAGTGAAATGGCAGTAACTCTGTCAAACATCAAAATCCAGGGAAGATCATTGGTGGTTTATTCTGTTTCTACATAAAGATTCATGAGGACAGAGAATGTGCTAGAAGGATACACTGAAGTAGAAAGGAAAAAGTAGAAGAATTTATAAGGTTATTTGATGAGATGGAACTGCTCAGACAAAATAAATAACTTGGGTGGATAGAAGGGCTTCCTGTACTTGTAATATGTAGCATGGATTGGTTCATACCTTGCACTAAGATAGTTGTTCAACAAGTATAATATGTTAAGCCTAAGCCATTAATTGTAAAGTACAGTAATTAGATTTGTACAGTAATAAGCCAGAAACAACAAATCACTTTGTGTCTTAGTGTTATCTCAGTTCTTGTTATCAAGCATTATATTAGAGCCTATACCAACCTTTCCCACCCATGTATTCCTCTAATATGTGGATTTTAATTTCCAGAATTCCCCAGCTTAATATAACCATTGCTGAGAATTATGAAAGGTCTGTGTATTGAACACGTGGGAAAGACTTGATCTGTATAATAACATCTGCCATGTTTGCTTGGCAGATCAAAAATGTAGATAACATAAATCATGAAGGAGTGGCTGCTAGTTTAGGGCACACATGCCTCTCAGCACCTTCTGCTCTAATAAATAAAGAAATGTTCTCCAAGAATGTAAACATTCACAATACTCAGTACTGATTACTTATTTTAAAAAGTGCTCATTCATCTTAGAAGTTAGTGAGACTCTTGGGAAATGTGTTTGCTTATTAGCTTGGTGGCAACTTCTTTAGTAATCAGTTAAAAAAATCATGGGTTTGCAAATAGATATGGCTGTGTTTTGTTTTTAATCTCATATACATATATAGTAGTACATGATAAATTACCTATGAGACAAATGAGACCAGTTCTGCAAAACATGCAGGAGAAAGATAAATTCCCATGGATTATCCATTTTTCCATGAACTGCATTTCCTATGAAACCTGACACATTTATCTATTTGCCAGTATTTGTAGCTTGTCAAAAATCAAAAGACCAAGATGGTGATTATAGAACATTAAAATTATAAAGAACTGCAACAATAACAAATTAGCACTCCCCCTCAATGGCCATAAGTAACACTTAGCTAGGGTTGAGGACTCAGTATAATAAAACCTGACCTCAATGACCAATCATTTTCTAAATATCCTTCAATATGTAAATTCATTTAATATATAATTAGAAAATTAAAAATGTGACCTTACTGCATGCTATATAAAAGTAGAAATCATCTAGTTTTCAATGGTTATTTTACTGGAATTTCAAGAACTACATATCTAAAATGTGTCCCATGATGGTAGAAAGTTTCCATGGGTAAAATGACAGCTGTAAACTTGCCCGGGGGAGGGGGGTGAGGCTCATCTTTTTTGTTCCACCTACTCTGTGGGGCTGTGGGAATGGTGAGGATGTTAGTAGGCTGTACCTGGCCTGTAGGCTGCATTTTTTGCTTCTTACTATACATCCTTCAAAGTGCCTGAGGATTTTCTCTCCAACTTTGCAGATATCTCATGTCTTGCTTTTTTTCTTGTAGTGGGGCCGACCTACTGGCAGTGAATGCAGATGGCAACATGCCATATGACCTCTGTGAAGATGAATCAACTCTGGATGTTATTGAAACCTGCATGGCATACCAAGGTAAGGTAGGATATGGGAACCTGGAGCATCAAATGAGATTGTCAAATTTTTGCCCCATAGTATAATTTTTCTGTTTGGAGGCTAGGACAGGCTAAGACAGCTTGTACCAACCTCTTCCCTTCCAGATGGATTGGTGTGAAATGCTCATTTATTCTTGCTATTGACATACAGCTAGAATTCTGGGAGCTTTCAAACTATTATTGGTTTCTCAAAATATAAAATACAAAGAGAAATTCAAAAAGGTAATAGAAAAGTAGGAGGGGAAGGGAAAAAAGACTCTCTTTAGCATAGTGGAAAGTAACATTACAATTGCAACTTTTTACTTTTACATAGCTGTATGTACAAGCCATTTCTATAACCTATCTAATTAGCAAAATCAAAATCAAAGTTTCATTTCTTTTTTAATTGAAATCAAAAATCCGGAAGCAATTTCAAAATAGAAACAAGATTAGATATATTCTCTTCTTTGGATAAAAGAATCAATTTGACCACCTCTGCTTCTTTTTGCTGTGGGGAATTGCATAGGCTTCTGTTAACTCATTAATCTTTATCATAATTCATATTAAGAAAATCCTCTATATTGTTTTAATTTTTTTTAACCCTAAAGAGATAAAACACTTTTTCTAGTTTTGATATTTTACTAACTTTAAAAAATATTCAAGTATTATATATAAAGGGAGAAAAAAGATAATAATTCTGGGAGTTATAGTCAAATATATGTTCAGTGCCATCAGATTAGGAAACATTGTTCTGCCATCTATACATTTAGTTGCATAGAAGCAGTATTTTCATCCATTTATTCATTTTATCAACAATCAGTGATATTCTCTGCTTGGAATCAATTGTTATGCACAAAATAACATTTTGTTTATTATTATTATATTTGGAAAACATTAAATGAGAATAAAAAAGTAACATTCATAAGAATCCTGATTTTTATGACTTTCTTACTGAAAAGATAGCAACAGGGTTGTTCAGACACTACATGTCAATATAATGGTGTAAAAAGCTAACCAAAATTTAAAAAGCAAATAGTGCATTATCAATATATTTTTTAATAATTTTTCCCATAAGAAAACCTTGATTGTTAAAAAAATATTTCTTTTTAAATTGATGCATTAAAAATTAAGAAAAGTCTTCATATATTGCAGGGGTGTCAAACTCAATTTCATTGAGGGCCGCATCAGCATTGCAGTTGCCCTCGGGGGGGCGGGGGTGTGTGGCCAGGGTGGGTGCGGCCTACTGGGTGGGCGTGGATGGAATGGGTGTGGCCTACTGGGTGGGCGTAGCCAGCTCTACATCATTCGCGTCAATGGTGCCTGTGGGGGCCTGGGCAGGAGTGGGACAGATCTGATGGTCTCTGGCAGAAAGGGGTAGGACCAGGGCAGAGCCCATCAAGCCGGATATGTAAAGTAGGCGAGGGCCATTTGCTGGCCACTTCCAGGTGATGGTGCATTTCTTCATTCCTCACAAAGGGTGACACCTCCCCAGCATGCACCCAGGGGGTGGGGCCGATGCGGCAGGGGCTGGTTCCTCGCTGTTTCCAGATGGCCTTGTGGAGCTAAGTCTGAATGCATTTCAGCATAGATGGCCACCACAAAGATGGCTTTGCGGGCCACATGAAACTACTTTGCAGGCCGCATCTGGCCCCCGGGCCTTGTGTTTGACATGTCTGATATATTGCAATGCAATGTTTACTCTCCCAAGTGATTTCTAAAATTTATGTAATAGAAAGAGTATTTAAAGTATCAAATCATTACAGTTCATTTACACAAAGGACAATAGAGCTCTGAAGTCAAGGTCAAGAATGCAATTCTTCCTGCAGTTGGTACTGAGATATTTCATAAGGAAAAGACAGACTTGGTACATTTTTTAAAAATACATATTGTATTATGTTATTTTATATCTGTAATTTTATTGCCATTTAAAAAAAGAAATACAAAAAAACAATATGCAAAAATAATTTAAAAGACAGTAAAATGCACATGTCCAGCAAATTAATTAGCTGATGACTTACAATAGCAAGGCAAACAAAAGGAAATTAAACAAGAGGAACAAACAAAAATAACGCTAAAAATTAACTTACTAAACTAGTTTAAAAACAGCATAAAATAATAAAAACATAGTTGAGGTTAAAAAAAACATACAATACAAATTGGCACAGACAGAAGCATGTCTTTTAAGCCTTGTATAAGGCTAAGAGGTTCAGGGCCAATCTGATTTCTGTGGGAAAGAGGTTCCAAAGAGTGGGTTCCAGGACAAAAAAGGCTGTGTTCCTAGGTCTGAGTAAAAATTGTTTAGTTTTATAAAATAAGATAAAATCTAGGCCAAAGAGATACTTATTGCATCACTGTTTCTGAAGAGTCAAAACAATACCTTTTCAAAAAAATTTACTATCCGGGTAATAGTACTTTTCATGGAATCTGATCATTTTTGAAGAATATGGGTTATATTAGATGTTGGGAATAGCCAAGAACATTATACTGAGACCCTGGGATTGGAATAGGTAATGGCAGCAGCATTTTTGTATTTAAATAAACGTGAAAGGCACTTTTAAAAATTATTGCATATCTTTCCATTTTTTTCTATTCATTTGCTTTATTGTTTCCAGAAATTGTATGTTGCAAATTTCCTGTTTTATTCATCGTAGGAATCACACAAGAGAAAATCAATGAGATGCGAGCTGCTCCTGAACAGGCAATGGTTGATGATATTTCAGAGATGAGTGCAAGAGGAGAGGATCTGAACATAATAGATGCTCAAGGTGTTTCACTGGTGAGCCATAGCCACATTGTTTTTACAGCTGGCATGCAGGCTGACCATCTAGTTGGACCTGTATACCTATGCTTGGTTTGGGTCTCATTATTTTTGCTCTGATCTGTATTTATTTATTTATTTATTTGCCCAAGGCTTAAATGCTGCTTCTCCTGTATTACATCTGAAAAAGCACAGCTGCTTTTAACTTGGAAGCAGACATATGGAAACTTGTTAGATTCATGGATGGGGCTGGGGATATGATTTGGGGATATTGCCTATTACATTGGCTTGTTTCCTGTCTCAGAATGGCAGGAATTGAAATTTAAGGTTGCAAATGAATGCAAAAAACAACAACAACCCATCAGTGTCCAAATTACCACATGCAAACTCTAGTACATGTACACTGAAGACAGAATTAAACACAATTGTTTTATACAGTTGACATTTACACAGAAATTAAGATTAATTGGCTGAAAGTATGAAATTGCCCAAAGATTCATACTGTAATTCTATGTCTGTTCAATAACAGCAAAAGTAATAGAAACCTCTTAACATACTAGACTGATCTCATGGCATAATCATTAATTAAGGCTAAGTTTGAAACTAGATGTTTGAATAAACTAGTCACATAGTTTTATTTATCTATTCCATCAGATTTGCATTCAACAGTAGAGATTTCCATGGAACTGCCTTTCTGGACGAGGTTAGACTCAGTGATACTAAATTAGATGCTTCACCCTGTAAAAGCTTCTGCTATTTTACTCTACCATATAGTATATGTCAGAGATTGAATTGGGATTATAAACTCAATATAATAAAAGTGCAAGAGAAATCATCATATTTTTTAATATTTTTATTAAGTTTAACTTGTTATTAGTGAATTCTGCATTAAGTGATCTAGAAAATACATTCAAATAACAATATGAAAGGTAATGCATAAAACAGAAACAATGAAATGACTTTATAAGAATGGACCTATGTATTCAAAAGTGCTGATGCTGACTTTGACAATGCATGATCTTTTAGTAACATGACTGCAATTCTAATGAAATACACATTGTACAATATTACTAGGATCTTAGTAGTACATAATAAACATTATCTCATGTCATGGAAAAAAGAGTTTTCCCCATATTATCCATTGAATCTAAATAAGGGATGGGATTCTAGACCAATAAAATATCTTGTTTCATACATAAGTTGCAGAATTCCCTAGGCACTATTCTAGGCAGCTTCAAAGAGAAATTCCTAGAGATTAGATTACTGGGCTTGACAACTATAGATTATCTCCAGAATCAAGGGTGGCACCTTTAAATAAATACTGCTCTGGAATAATATGGAAGATAGCTATTGCCTTTAACTTATGCTCCCTTTTTGAATGGCTGCTATACATCAAGAATGTTGAACTAGAGAGAAAGTTTTTTTGTCTATTTCTCCAGGGAGTTTATTGTCATACTTTTTGCGCTGCTGAAATCATGGTGCGGTTCTGTAATTAGGAGGGAGGCCTTCTCACCAGGGATTTGGGGAGGAAAAATTAGTCCAGTCTTTTCCTTCAGAGCCAGTTAACACACTTAAATTGCTTTTCCCTTCTCCAAAATTGTTATTACCTGTGGCATGATATAGTGGGAGGAAAGAGCTAGAATGGCATCTGTTTTGAATCTTCTGATAAGAACAGCTTCAAGGGAGCCTTTTAGGTGGAAGAAGAGGCAAAGTTAGCAGGCTTTTTCGACAGTACAAATGGAAGCAAAGAAAATGTCCTCTTCTAGTTGAGCCCTAAGACATTTTATTTTATTTATTTATTTAAAAGATTTATATGGCTCCCCATCTTAGTGGCTCACAATAGCAAGACAGATGCCAGATTCCAACTTTGGAGTGCCAATGTAGATTTTTAATGCAGATATTACCTATTACCATTTGCTCAAGAAATCTTACCATTAATTAGTTAATGCTTAAATATTATATACTAAATAATGCACATTTATATAGTTACATCAATGTAAGAACAGAAATCATACTAAACACTAGTTTCCTCTAGTCTGAAACTAGGCTGATTACTATAGCAAGCCACTGATAATTAAGTCACATAATGCTGGTCCTGTAGAATGAATACTAGGATAGCTGTAAGTCAAAATCAAAACAAGACAAAAACCAGCATTAAAAAGAATATGCAAAGAATGAAAGAAAATGAAAAAATGAGAGTATACATAGATACATGTGCATATATTACAGAAAATTGCAGACATTTAAAATATTTTTCTTTCTTCTTGACTATAGTTACATATATCTGCAGCCAATGGTTATCTACATGCAGCAGAGCTGCTTCTAGACCAGGGAGCAAGACTGGATCTTAAGGACTGTGATGGCTGGGAACCCCTCCATGCTGCTGCTTTCTGGGGACATGTATGTTTTTCATTAATGGACCAGTTATTGAAAAATGTATCGCCTTAGAGGGTTTACCTTCATACTGGTTGCCTAGCTTATCTTCTCTTAGTGCTAGATTTAAGTAAAAGTTGGGTGATGTTGTAAGAAGGTATTACATTTTAACATCATTTTCTTTGTTCCAGATGCAAATGGCAGAGCTCTTAGTGTCCCATGGAGCAAACCTGAGTGCCCGAACAGCTATGGATGAGATGCCAATAGGTGAATTTCTGCCATTTCTATTCTTAGCCAAAGTTTTGACAGCATAACAACATTCAAATATTTTGATTCTCTTTTAAGATTTGCTCAGTTTGCCCAGCCCTTGTATCCTTAAATTAGTTTGTAAAATGATGTTCATGAATAGCATGCAAAGCATGTAGGTGGTAAGGATGAGATACTGCAGAAGAATTCCTTCAGAATCCTTTTTCAAATTTGCTAAACATGAAATGCTGGTTTCATTTCTCAGGCATTACTGTTATGTAAAGTATGGGAAAATGCTTCTTAGAATGCCTTTACGTGTGAGAAAATCTATGTTTTGTATCAAGGATGAAGAAAGAAAATCTGAGTCTGGATTATGTCTTCATATCACGTTAGAATAAAACTATTGCATTCACTTTTAAGTAATTCTTCAGTAATCCTGAAATTGTCGGATGCCCCTAAAAGCTATTTATGTGTTTAATATTTCTTAACTTGAAAGCAGAGCCCACACATTCACTTGCTCATACAGTAGATTAACTATGGGTGCTTAAGGAATAGTTTTAGATGCACCTCTTGGGCAAATATATCTTTCAAAATATAGATGTCCCCTGGATTGTCCACTTCTCTAAATCTACAAATCCTGATGTTGTTGTTGTTGTTATTAGTTGCGAAATCGTGTCTGACCCATTGCGACCCCATGGACAAAGTTCCTCCAGGTCTTCCTGTCCTCTACCATCTTCTGGAGTCCATTTAAACTCACTCCTACTGCTTCAGTGACTCCATCCAGCCACCTCATTCTCTGTCGTCCCCTTCTTCTATTGCCCTCAATATTTCCCAGCATTAGGCCCTTCTCCAGTGAGTCCTTCCTTCTCATTAGGTGGCCAAAGTATTTGAGTTTCAACTTCAGGATCTGGTCTTCTAAAGAGCAGTCGGGGTTGATCTCTTCTAGGACTGACCAGTTTGAACACCTTGCAGTCCAAGGGACTCACAGGAATCTTCTCCAGCACCATAGTTCAAAAGCCTCAATTCTTTGTTGCTCAGCCTTTCTTATGGTCCCACTTTCACATCCATACATTGCAACTGGGAAAACCATGGCCTTGACTATACGCACTTTTGTTGGCAGGGTGATGTCTATTAAAATGCAATCTGTATATTACACAAAATATCCCAGAACCTCTTTAACTTTTGGCTGCAATTAACTAGATTTATATAGCTCAGATATGGTAGCCTTAATTCACAGTGTTCTTCAAATAACAAATCTGCCATAACTCTATAGTTCTTAAAGATATACAAGACTCCTATTTTTCCCTATCCTGTACCATGTACTACATGTAGAATGTCTATTGAATGCAATATTTCATGTTTATGTCTGTTTTATCATCACTGAACAATTCAGTTAAATGAATTTATTTATTTATTCCTTTAGACCTGTGTGAAGAAGAGGAGTTTAAGGTTCTGCTCTTAGAGCTAAAGCATAAACATGATGTCATCATGAAGTCTCAAATGAGGCATAAGTCCTCCTTGAACAGGAGAACATCAAGCACTGGAAGCAGAGGGTGAGTGATTAGAAAAAAAACAAATTTGTTAAAAATCTGTTGTCTGTCTGTCAGTCAGTCAGTCTGGACTGTACAAAGTTTTTTCTAAACTACAGTTTCAACTTCTTGAGGTTGATTTTCACCATGACCATTTCATTCCGAGGTGAAGAAAATGCTAACCAAAATATTTGTACTAAGATACTGTTCACTGTCCCCACAAATCACTACTATTTTTCTACATGTTTTATTTGAAGCAAATAGAGTCCATATTTCAGATAGATTTTAAAATTAATATTTCACTCTGATAAATATTTTCTGTATTAATTGGTGACCTGACCTCACATTACAAAATTATGCACTCATGTGGTAGAGCTGAAGGAAAGAAACCATACAGCAGTTCAACAGGTGCTGTTATCTATGATGGCATTCAAGATGTGTTTTAACAAATAATATTGACAAAAGATTGCCAAGTTTAAATAGGTTATTATATTTGGCTTGCTGCTAAGGCAGGTATCAACAAATCTTTCAAATGGTGGATACATTTGGAAATGTGCTGTAGTTACCTCACAAAATAGCCATTGTCATTATAGCCAATCATACTGTTTTTCAAGATGGGAAATCCATGTTATGCTCTCTAATTCTGTATTACTGTATCTTACTATTGTCATTTTGGGGGTGGCAGATAGACAAACCTATGAACAAAACACTGGCCTGAATCTAGCCACCATTTTTAGTCTAATAAAGCAAAAACTCTCTCTGAACTTGTTCTTTTGATTAGCTATAGGTTCTATGTTACCTATCCTTGATTTAAGTCAATTGCTTTATACTATGAGTAATCTGGAAACAGAGTTTCATGCAGTTTAAAATGGATAGCAACAAGGTACCTACCTTTCTATTAGCTAGAGGATATTTTATGATGATATTTTAAACTAGGAATATTGCTCAAGCCAATATGGCAACAGAGAGGGATAGTGCAAGTTGCAACTACATTGGGGGTATCAGATTTAAACCTTGGAAATCCATAAAAAGAATAGTTCATTAAATGAAAAATCAAGACATTTCCCCATCATAATTAGGATATAGATATAAACTTTGTCTAATTAATATCCTGGTGTATATGTAAGAGTGCCAATTTAGTGTAGTGGTTAAGGCATCAGGCTAGGAACCAGGAAACCCTGAGTTCTAGACTCACCTTAGATACAAACCCAGTTGGGTGACTTTGGGCCAATCATTCTCTCTCAGATCTATGAAACAGGCAATGGCAAACCACTGCCATTCAAAAAACTGCCATGAAAACTACAGGGCTTGTCCAGGCAGTCACCAGGAATCAAGATTGACTTGAAGGCACCAAAAAGTAGCTTCGTATTCTTGAATTTAAATGTGCAGTATTTAAATGCTCAAGAAATGTTATTCCATACAAATTGTGATGAAAATTAATTTAGAATCCAAAAATGTATTAGTGTTTGGATATGTATGTGATGTACTTAGTATTTGTCCAGCAACTTGTGATTAAAAACAACAGTAAGATTTATAATTAATAGAGGAACAATTTGCAGGTTGGCATTATATTTACATGATTAAATAGCTGTCTGAAAAATTCTAAACCATGAATGTGTAACAGAAATGAATTTAATTTAAAGTGAGGGAGTGATTCAGTATGTGATATGGATGAACGAGGATTCATCCATGAATTTCAATTTTGTGATGGTTGACAATCTACTTTTGAATAAATAAAAAGAATGACTCATGAGTACCACCTGGTGTTAGAAAACTGGTTCATTTCTGCTCAGGTAGACGGTCTTTCCTTCTTCAGAAAAGTGCAGCTGGGAGTGCAGCTATAGAAAAATGTCCATTTTATTTATGCAAATCACCATTTTAGTAAGTCTTCTCTTCTCTTTACATTTTGTCTTAGAAAAGTGGTGCGGAGGGCAAGCCTTTCAGATCGAACAAATCTTTATAGAAAGGAATATGAGAAGGAGGCTATTATCTGGCAACAGATAGAATCTTCTGAGGAGCAAAGAACTTCTGACTACAATATTGACTTTCGGGAGGCTTCCTCTAACCAAGAGAACACAGATCCAGTAAGGAAAATCTAATAATTAACAAATTCCTCTGTTCCTATTAAAGCATTTGCAATCAAGAAACCATGTGAATCTTATGGAAGTACCAGTTGCATAACTAAAACTTATGTTAACCAAAGCATATATAGTCTATTATGCAATCTTCTTTATTTCCCTTTCCATCTTATGTTGATATCATTGCTGGCCCCTTACATTTTTTAAAGGAAACAAATATTCTTTATAGATTCCATTCAATGGAAAAAAGCCATGTATTGGTTTAACATATAGCAAGACTACACATTTTCTTCTTACGTAATTGTATTTAGCCTCCAAGTTGTGTGTTGGGATAATAATAAATGGGGCAAGAAAAAAAAGCCTATCTTTGACTTAATGTGATTATCATCCAGTCAAATAATGTACTATTTTTCTTCTCTTTAAGAAATTCAATTTGGTAAGAGCTTTGGGGTAGGGGTCTCTGGGAGCCACACGAAAAGTTTTGGGATATCTCATGTGGTCCTGAACCTTTGGCTGGATGGCTACATAGTAGAGCACAAGGACTTGCTTTTATAATGCAAGAAAATGAGTAAACATGGGCAAATTGTTAGTTGTTTGATAGAGGGAACAGCAAAGTTGCACCTCATATATATTTTTGTGTTCCAGAACTTGACAACTGATACAGCTATAATCCTTCCAGAGCTGGTAACAAAAGGAACACAATGTGATTCAGAAAATTTGCTTCAGAATGGACTCAGTCTACCCTCCATTCCTTACCAATATTCTATTCCAAATGGAGATGTTTGGATAATGCATTCAGCCCTGGACAATGATGGAAGCCACATATTGCCCTACAATACCCCTGGGATTTCTGACTCTCATCACATCTGGGACGAGTACAAAGAAAGGAGCCACCAAACCCTTTCTGAACTGAAAAGGCAGCGAGCAGCAGCCAAACTTCTCAACCACCCCTTCATTAGTACACACTTTAGTAGCGGTATAGGAGACTCAGTGGAAAATGGGGGAGAAGCTAAAGAACATTTGATTAGTTCCAGGACACCTTCTTATACCTCCAATGGAACTTCAGTTTATTACACCATGTCAAGTGGTGATCCACCTCTCTTAAAATTCAAGGCTCCCATGGAAGAAATGGAGGAGAAGGTGCATGGCTGCTGCAGAATCTCCTGATCTCAGTTTATTCCTACCAAGTTGGTAGGCATGATGCATCCACTACTGAATCTTCTTTTTTACTTCATCACAGGATCTGGTTTAATCATCTGGGACTAGGCTCTTCAAGGTTTATGCATACCTAATTCCATATTTTGGTTTTGCAGTTTCATTAAAAATGGAGCATATGTAGGTAGAAAGAGAAGCGGAAGTGAAACTCTTTACACATAACTTTTATCTACTAGATGAGAGAGTGTTTGTTTGATTACAACTCTAATCTGATTTCAAATATCTATTCATGGGTTTCTGGGACCATAATCGGCACATGAGAAATAAATTCTTTTGACATTGGTACAGCATTACTGACAAATACTTTTTTACAAGCAGACTAGGTAAACAACTCTGTGTAAGGTTTTATACCTGAAGATATATGCACTTTATGATAACAACCAACCCAAAACCACGGCCTCTAATGTGACTGCACTGTTGGAATGTTAACTAACTTGCTGCCAATTTTGTTTTGCCATCATTTATTTGTGTTCATTTTATAAAATAATGAAGTATGAAGTTTTCAACTCTTTTAAGGAAGAGATTATTTTCAGTTCCTCAGAGGAGCAGTACAGTTAAAAAGAATTCATGCTTTCTACCCATTCTTTTCCATTGATAGTCCTTTTTAGTTTGCACTTGAAAATATTTTGATATGCATTGCAGTAGTGTAGCAAATTTTAATTCATCATGCTCCATCAGAGAACTATCATTTTTTATTTACCCCCAACTTTTATTTTGAAGTTTTTGAAAGAGGTTTTCTTTCTTTCTTCTCAGTGTTATGCCTTGCAACTTTTACTATCATTTGATTAGCTTGTTCTGCTGTGCATAAAAAAACCCCTTTGAAGTGGCTTTTAAACATTAAATCTCTACTAGGGTTTGAGAATGGGGGTGAGCATCATTTTATGTTTCACTGCTAATGTTAGCTAAATGTCTGTAATTACCACTTTCTGCTTTTTGTCTGACCAAGAAACTGATGGCCAGAATTTATGTGTTGGAATTTAGTTGTATTCATATGAGATCTACATTCCTGAGTCAGGTTCTCCTCATTGTAACATATTTATCTACCCTTCTTTTCTTTGATGCTATCCAACTGTGTTAGGAATATAGTATTCAAAATTCTCTGCCAGCACTTGAAGGATAAAGCTTGGGGAAAACTGCAAATTTCCTATGTTACATTGTAAGGGTGTTGTACATCGCTTCACTCCACAGAAGCACATGCCATAACTTTTGTTGAAATATGACACATAAGGAAGGAGGTTTTCACATTGAATAAAAGCCACTTAACAATATCTAGCAATAATATTTGAATTTGCAGGTGGTCAGCACTATAGCCATGTGGTAGAAGCCTGATTGCTAGAGATAAATATGTGTTCTTATCACCCATAAGAGCAGGCATGTCAAACTCACGTGACGTCGCATGACATATCGCGACTTTTTCTCCATTGCCAGCAATGAGGTGGGTGCCGTTTCGGCGTGATGCATCCGGTCCACAGGCCGGCAGTTTGACATGCCTGCATAAGAGGCTTAACTGCACATTTCATTTTAGTTTGATGAAAGGTATACTGGTCGCTGATGGTCTTATTTTTTTAACTCAATCTCTTCTTGACTCATACCTGATTTATGAAATAGCAGTGGTTTAATCTTAATTTCCCATAAAGTCTTTTTGTTAGAGTGAAAGGAAAATGTAGTAACTTCTGAAACTCTTCATGCTACATCTGATATATTCTTCCATTAATTGAAGATTAAAATTGGAATTTTCTTGCTAAAACCCAAAGTCTGTATTCCTTTGGCAACCATTCTGCAAGCAAGCAAGCAAGCTCATTTTTCCTTAACAGGGAAAACAGTGTACAACACATAGCAAACTAGCTATCTAAGAGGCAAACTAGGCAACTTAGACTTTTCTACTATATATCCAAGGGTATAATTTTTAGAATAATTATAGGGCTTTTAAAATTATATATATTGCACACGAATGTTTCATCTGAAAAAGTGACTGTTTTATTAAAAGTGTTCTAGAGATCTGAACTTGTGCTTAACACACAATAATGAGAAACAGTCTTCAATGCAAGATAGCAAAGTAAGAGCAGCTGTGTGTTGGCAAATTATATGTGATTAAAATGACTGATTCAGCAATGAAAATCTCACATCTTATTTAATTCATAATGTTGGAAAAGTATCTCTTTAGTGTTGTGCTAGAACTGATAAATAATAAAGTAGCTGAAAATGTCGCCTATTCAATATTCAGTCAATTTTGTACTTGTAACTTCAAAACAATTGTCTTTATTTTTATTTATTTTTGCTTCAGTTTTTCAAAAGATGCTTTAAATTGGAGAAAGAGGATAATACTGAAACAGAATTATTTTGTTGGACTTTTTCTCTTTTATCTAAATTGTTAGGCACCTGCTCTCTTTGAAGCTTTCTATGCAAAGAGCTGTACATCTGAGCAGGTAATCCTGGTTCTGTTTTCAATAAGGTAGTCAAAGTGATAAAGTATTGATCATAACATACAATAGGAATTAAGGATAGTTCAACAGTACAATCTTCCTTCTTCTCCAGCAATTGAAAGAATTGTTCTGTAGTTAGTAGCAAGGAGACAGGTGTTTAACAAAACTTCTCAGCATCTATATCAAATTATGATTTATAGGGAACCCTGACAGTAAATCTATGTAGCATCAGTAACTGCATGTAGAAGAGAAAATAATGTTAATGTAAATGCCTTAGGTCCTGATCTAGTTTCTTTCTGCTTGTAACTTTATTGAGTTTTATCACCACTTCTATATTTTTTTCTCCAAAACTTTGTTAAAGAATATACAGTACTGTATTTAATCTGCTTTCTAGTACAGTCCTCTCCAATGTATGTAGTGCCTGATTTTTTTAAAAAACAGCTTTGTTGTAAATCTATATATTCAGAATTGTAATATATTTACTATACTACCATCAATTGGAAAAACAACAATAGAAAATGTCTCTATGTAGTTCCTTTAAATGGTATTTCTTTATTAACTTCTTGAATTTATACCAGCCCTTTAATAGTCAGTGTATTCTGAATACAAGTCTGTGATGCCCTCAGCTGGAGAGTAAAAGTATTACACAATATATATTTTTCAGATGTCTGATGCAGGACTCAAATTACCACAATAACTGCAAAACTGCAGGAATTTATGAAGCCAACTATTGTTGAATTTCAACTCCTATAACCCCCAACTTTTACAGCTAACAGCTACAGATAACAAAGATCTTGTGCAGCTCATGGAAATACATATTCCTCACACTTGGTATAGACTCGAGAGAATCATTATATAATATGACTGGCTCAGATTTGTTTTTCTTATTCCTACCCATCTGAAAAATGTCTTTTTACTTGCCTAATCTGTAAATTCAATTAAAATAATATTCATACCATACTCCAACTGGTATATACTAAATCCCAAGTGCAGTTTACATTTTTTTTCTATGTGAGGCATGAAATAAAACAGCCCTGAGACACTTGGGAAAAACCAAATCACATATGTTGCTATAAATCCCAAGTTATCATTTCAAAACCAGGCTTGCCATGCATTGTGGCAACTTTATTCCCGTGACTATTCTGAGAAATTTTTATGTAATCAAAATATTTTTAGACAACCTCAGCTATACGGAATTGCCAAATACTAAGGTTTATTTTATATATGGGTAGGTTGAAATAGCATCCATTACCAGAATCTCTATTTTGCTAATAATTGCAAGCTCTAGGGTTTTTCGATTTTCCTCAACTTGGTGAAGTTTCATAGAACTGAATGAATGAATAGTTGGTGAAATATTCAAGGAGCTGAAGGTAACAATAGGAGGCCTCAAGAAGTTGTAGAAATGTGGTCTATATCTTTATGCAGAAAGAGGTGTAAGTTCTATTGTATGAAGCAAACAAAAAATGCTTAAAAACAAGTATCTTCCAGACAGATATCACTTGTTTTTAGGAGAATGCAGTGACTTTTTCATAGAATGTAGTCATGTTCATATTGCTACTTTGAAAGTTAATGCCTATTAAAAAATAATCCAGCCATTCCTCCGAGTTCTATCAGCAATGGAAAGCATCCACAATTTAGCCAAAGTTTTCTTTTGTACTTTTTTTTGTAATTTAAATAGCTCTCCCTCTATCTCTATTTTTTTGGGAAAGAATTCTATTATCTATAGCTCCAACTTGTTTTGTAATTTTGAAACAACAAAACAAAAATCCCCATGAGCCATTCTTGCAGCATAGAATCTGACCATCTGTTTTCCTCTCCAAGCTCTGTCATTTCTGAATTTCAAATTTCCACAGAATCCTAATCTTTACAGTAAAATGAGAGAAATGTTTAATAATGTCATTGGAAAACTATTGCTTGTTAAAAATGGGCTATCTTTTTAAGACAGATTGTTATAGTGATTATTCTGGCATGAGGTAAATGTTACACGATAATTTAGGAGCAACATTTTTCGACATTGTCTGGAAAGAAGGAAGGAAACTGGTGACTGACCAATAAACAGTGATGATAAGCTATATTCACACCATTTCAGCAGTTTGGTTAGCCTTTGCAATGATGACTCTAAGGATTTCATTGAAATATTTGTAAAAAAAGGGGTGAAGGTAAAGAAAATACCTGTATATACGGTATTAGCAACACAATGTATATATAGACGCCATTTTGGCCCATCAAATCTAATATATTAAAAGTTTTAAAAGAAGGATTATTTCTTATTTTTATGACAGTCTTAGTAGTATTATAATATGATGTATGAAAAGATGGTCATTCCATAACTATTTGAAACAATATATGAAGTCTTAAACTGCCTCAGAAATCTGATGGCATAGAGTATATCAGTATAAGTTTCTGCCTTTGTTTAAATGAACAGTTTTTAACATAAAATTTAAATTTCTTTTATGAACAGGAAAGGAGATGAGTGTTGATTCTTTGTGCCTATTCAAAAGTAATATAGGAAAAAAGGATCATGTTTGCAGAACTTTATATCTCTTTGTCCTATGTAAGCAGTGTTTTTTTTTTTAGCAATAATCTATTTTGTTGCCTTGCAATAGGACCTAATGTAGAAGGAAGCAATCTGCAACACTCCAGGTGTTTTACTTTTACTGGGATCTGACCAGTAATATATTTAAAAGCTCCTGATCTACCAGCTTAGCTGAAGCTGACCAGATATAGTCTCAAGTCAGTACTAGCTGGGAAACAGTGTAATCTATTGTAAATTCCATGGGGGAAAAGTGGGATATAAATAAATTTAAATATTATAGTCAGGATTCAGGAAATAATTGAAGTTTTGTTCATAGACTACATATTTTTGTGGCATTCCTGATTACACTGACACATAGAGATGAAGAATAAAAGAATCTTTAATCAATATGCATTTACAGTCTGCACTGAAACACCCATTTTCTCTTTGTTCTATAGAATGTATAGCCTGGAATTCACATGATCATGATAAGTGACTCTCTGGATTTGTCTACAAACACAATA